TATAGGGATTAGCTCATGGATATAAGGTGTTTATGACACCCTCAAGCCCTACCCAACCCTAACCTTCACCATAAGTCACCAGACAAAATACAAGATTTTGGGCATTTTTAGTTTTTTGATTGCAGTCACAAATTTTTATAAAATTGACTTTCCCCTTGTGGGAATGGGGAAAAAATCACCCACACAAGGTTAAAATAACAGGTTTTTATCACATTGTGGAGACATTTGATCCCCACAATGTAATAAATACATGGCCACACACACACACACACACACACACATGCAGAGTTAATAAATGCCACTGGATAAATTATCTTACACTGAAGTCAGACCTCCACATGGTCCACATGGTGTGACAGACCTCATTACATGGCTGCCACTAATACAGACCATTGCTTGGTTAATTACAAACCAAAGTATTTAACCATCAAGCTCCACTGCTTTCCAAACAAGATTAAAAGCCATTGAAGATACGCTGCATGCTAAGATCAGTTTTTAACAGCAAGTTTCGATGAAAAGAATTTGCAATTACAAGCGACTACAACTATCAGTGTGGAGTTAAAGATTTTTCTTTTCTCTACCAGCCAGAGGAGATTCTTGTCTGGAGAAAGTGGCTTCATGTTCTGTGTAGCTGGTGAAAAACCAGACTCTGTTCTTTTTTCATCAGTTAAGCACTCCAGTTTTACACTCCTATCATGAAATGGCTGGTATTCACTGAAAGACGTCTGCTGTTTTGGTCTATACTTCAAACAGAGCAGTAATTCTCATGAGGCACAAAAGCAATCAAGCTCTGATTGCTGGAGTCATCCACGGTGGCTATTATGTGCAATCTTTGGTAATGTTGCAGCCAGCTGAATGATCTGCTGTCCCCCTTTTTTTGTGTTTTCATGTCCTCATGAAAAAAAGCAAAAGGGATATGAGGAAGTGTCTTCGTGGAAGTGCGTCACGAAAGAGTAGAAAACCAGAACAGTCGAGTTGGAATATCGCTCATTATTGAGCATGTGAACAGCCCCATCAGAGGTGCTGAACTGTGCCCTCTTCAGGATGGTGTGAGAAAATCACGGGATGGCTTTTGTTGGCTTCTGCTGTGGGCCTGATCCCGGAGGGGCCTCACCTGACTTTCCAGCAAGATTAACTCTGTATCCTTTATTCCTACTCATCTCATCATTCAGGAGGTTCGGATTACGCTAAGACCAGTTCGCACTTCGCTCGTTGGCCAAGCGCAGAAATTAGCCTTTTCGAGATTTAGGGGCCCCAACACAAAACACGAGCAGCACAGTTCAGGATTGAGGTCATGTAGACGCTTAATCTACCATGGATGCGAAAGGACGCCTGGCTATACTGAAAAATTCTTCATCAGAGGATCATGCTATTCAAAAATACACTGTCATTCAGAAATGTAGCTCTGTGTTGAGGGTTCATCTGCTGTTAGCATTGATATCGATTCCTTTAGTAGGCGCTTCTATCCTGACCTAATCAGCCTTTCAGTTAAATCATTATCTGCCTTTTACTACCCATTTTCACAGCTATGATTTTACTGAATTGAGGGTCAAGTAACTGAAATTAACTTTTTAAAAAAAGGTTTGTAATGGAGCAACATTCAGTCAATCCGTAAGGCATCTGTCGGTTTAGCCACTTTGCTGTCATGTGACTGATGGATTTCAGAGCCCTTTATCATTTTACCTTACTATTCCCTTTCTGTTTGCTTGCGTTTACGTCTTGCAGAGATGTAGCCTAGCCAACCGCTAAACCGCTAAATGCTCCACTATTGCTCGGTCATGCCAATATGCAGCACGCCCATAGTAAAATATATTTCTTCGTTTTAAAAGGGCATATTGAATGCAGGGGTTATGATGTCATGCAGTCTTTGCCTGCACACGTCTTTCCTGCTGGATACTTTAGTCATCAGCCCCTCATTAGAGAAGCGGGGATAGCTGTGAGTAATTAGGGGAGTCTTTCGCTCTGCAGGTAACGGGCGTGGCCAGCAATGCGTGTCCTCCACCCTGCCGCACTTATGGAATGAGACATGTGTTCCTTATTGATGTTCTGCTAGTCCTCAGTGACGGCTGTGGTCCACACATTCACTCTGTTAGAGGTAATCATCTCTTTCCTGCTATATCCAGGGGAATTGGACATGCATGGATATCCTGGCAGATTAATAGGGCCCAGCACAGTATCTGGGGCCCCCTGTTCGTCAAAACCTACTGAGGGCCCCTCAGGCCAGCATTTCTTCACCACCAAGAGAAGGGGCCCAACGTGACATTTTGTCAGGTGGTCCAGGATTTCTACACTTACACATCTACAGTGTAGCAGATGCTTTTGTCCAAAGTGATGTTCAAATGAGGCAAATAGCACATTTCAAACATTCATGCTATCAAGGGGTCGCCTAGGCATAAGTGCAGCTAGGTCGAGCTTCCTGTGAATGCCCAAGTGTGAGCTACCCAAACTGCTGCACAGTTACAGCTTCCTCAATAAGTGCAGCTAGG